TGAAAATCAATCTCCATGTCGACATAGTTATCCTACCTCGTCTTGCTCTACCGTTGCTTCCCAATTCACTACTTCTTCATCGTTCCAAATAACACTGCCTCCTCTTCATCATCATATTGTTTTGCAGTTAACTCCTAACAGCATTCCAATTTGGCATACGCAAATCTTACCTCTTCTTACCAGCTAGCTACAATATTGCTAAATACGTTGATGGCTCCTCACTTGCTCTCCCAAAGTCTTGACGCCCGGCTCACCTCTACCTATGATGCATGATATTGTCGTGATCAAATTGTCTTCCCCTAAATTGTAATCTCCCTCACCGACTCTGTTCTTTCCAAACTTGATAAGCAACCCACAAGATGCAGCCAAACGATTTCGGGCTTCACAACCACTAGAGTAACCTACAAGCTTGGAAGAACATAATCGGTGAGGGACATTGTAATTTAGGAGAAAACAAGTTGATCATGTCTGTGCCAGACTTTATAGCCAGGATTGAGCTGTCATCAAAACACCCCGGGGGAGGAGAAGGGCAGGATTCGTCAAAGTATTTGGCAACTTCATAGTTGGTAAGAAGAAAGAGGTGCATTCGATAGAGTAGATAATAAGTTACTAACTCACTATTTTGAAAATTAGGGTTTTCAAGAGAAAGGGAAAGAAGGGAAATGAATTGGAATTTGTTGGTTCGAAGTGAACGACTGAGATGGCTAATCTCTTCGTTCTCGTTGAAACCAAAAAAGGATTTGGCAGAATTTTAAACAGTCGGCCCAATGTGAAAAATTTAGAACACTGACTTTGTTGCTGGCCCAATGGAGATAAAATGCAGGAGTGATTTAAACTTTGAGTCGTCTGCTTTTCTAAACTTCAAACTCAGAGACTCCACACTCTATTTTTCCAAGAGGACGAACTAGAAATAGAGTATGCAAAATCAAATGGAGAGATTCGAAAAAGAGAAGGCACCCAAGTTTTTTAACGTGGTTCACCAAGTTGGCTACTTCGCATCCTGAAATCAGTGCCCACTGATTTCCATGAGACTCTTTTTATTGGTTTTCTTCTATAAAACAAGAAAGTTATGAAAATTAAAAGAACGAGTAAACTGAAAAACCCATACCCCTAATTTGGCTTGTTACAACCTATCACGATTTAGAATCTCCGCCTCTAAATTCGTAGTACACTTTGTAATCCAAAGCCCTTTACCACTCCCAATTACAAAGCTTGATAAGAGAGAGATCGACAGGAGCTATTTATACAAGGCATCATTGTCAGAGTCCGATCTATAGAGAGCTTGCAAGGCAGTAACAAAGGATTCTAGTTCGGGAGCATCTGTGCCAGAACCATGGTCGAAGTTCAAGAGTCAGAATCCTCTGAGTCCTGTTGATGATGTGAACATTAGGCACGTTCTCCCCTTCAATCGCAATTTCTTCTGGTCTCCGCTCTAGATCTTTGGATTATCTCCATGTTGCTCACTGGGACCCATAATGAAAATTGCGATTGAGGGGGAGAACATGCCCTAATCTCCACAAAAGGAAAGCTGGTTGCTAAGTAATCTTCTTTTGTTCTGCAATTTCGAATTTCCATCCCTCAACAGTCAACATTGGTGTGAGTCGATTTCATAGTTATACAAGGAGGAGGTGGAGGAGATTGGCAAGATGAAGAAACAGAGGAGTGGGAAGCAACAGTAAAACCAGAGGATGTAGAAATACATATAGACATGGTAAGAGCATAATAGGAAGAAAGGGATGTCAGTCTACCATGAGGCTTTGTAAATTCGATAACATGAAATCTCTAAATGTTTCACACTCTTTCTTTCCATTGCTAAGGAATTTATACAAGAGAGAGAGAGAGAGACAAAATATTGTAATGTGAACAAAGTTGATGCGATATATTAGGAATATAATTCTACATGGTGGTGGGTTAAAATAAGGCATAAAACTCTGTCAAAAGGCGAAAAAAAGAAGAAAAAACAAGTTTTCTAGTACAATATTTGAATGAAGTGCATATTTATATGTAAAAATGAGTGACTTAACCCTCTTATAAATCATAAAAGAGTTGAAGTTCCAATAGAATTAGTTATACCTAAGTAAAATACATTGTTTTTCATATTTTCATTGTACTTTATTAGTTGTATCTACATTCTTGAGTGGCAAATATGATCACTAATATATGTGCCCTACTGGACATAATTATTTAACAATCTTCCTCTAAGAAGATGTGAATCTGTGAAAAAATAATGAATGATGGAACTTTCCAACAAAAATAAGATGACCTTATCCATTTTACATGTATATCACTTTCTTGATTCTTATGAAGAAAATAATAGTTTTATATTCGGTATTGTTTTAAACACTTTTCCGATATCGGTTAAATACTAGGTAGAGCGATTTGTTATTGAATGATAGATTGATCGATTCTCGAGGAACGCGCAACCATGAGTCCTAGGAAAAACAAATCCTTAAAGAATATAAAATTTATGTTTAGCGTTCACTCTTTCTACGTTGATTCGTTACAATATTCCGTCATCAAATAGGATAGGATTGCATAAAAGTATTGTTCTAACTCAATGTCTATTGAGTTCATTGACTCTAGTTGTAAAACCGAAAGATTCTATAGCAAACGGTAATAATATAAGATGGAACCTTTCCAACAAAAATAAGATGACCTTATCCATTTTACATGTATATCACTTTCTTGATTCTTATGAAGAAAATAATAGTTTTATATTCGGTATTGTTTTAAACAATTTTCCGATATTGGTTTAATACTAGGTAGAGCGATCTGTTATTGAATGATAGATTGATCGATTCTCGAGGAACGCGCAACCATGAGTCCTAGGAAAAACAAATCCTTAAAGAATATAAAATTTATGTTTAGCGTTCACTCTTTCTACATTGATTCGTTACAATATTCCGTCATCAAATAGGATAGGATTGCATAAAAGTATTGTTCTAACTCAATGTCTATTGAGTTCATTGACTCTAGTTGTAAAACCGAAAGATTCTATAGCAAACGGTAATAATATAGCATCATATGAGGCTATATTTGATCTACACAATAAATAAAAGCCAAATGAGAAAACTTGAAGGCCCATTTCAAATTTCCTGCATCCAGAATGAAAGTAGGAAGGACATTTTGGTCTTCACAATTACTTTTTTTATTCATTAAAAAGACACTTACTAGGATTCGAACCATGACCACTTTAAAGAAAAGCAAATATCATAACCAATCACACTAAGTACATTTGTTGTATCTTTTTAAATTAAAAACATATAATCGCAGAGAGGAAAAAAACTCTTCCCCCATTTCAAATTCCCTGCTCCATAGGAAGGGTAGAATAGAGAGTGTCAATTTTTTTCTTTTTCCTCTGTGGAACGGGCCAACTTACCGTACACATGCGGATTTAAACGGGTCCAGAAGTGTCAATTTTTTCTTTAAGTCCTTTTATTTCTCTGTGGTGGTAATATATATATATATATATATATATGAAAAGGCAAAAACAATAATCCTTTTTATTGCTAAAAAGAAAAAAAATTTAACAATAAACTAATGCATGGATTCTAATGGGCTAACCGTTAATCATAAAATAAAAGAGTTGAATGAGCCTGACCTACACGGGATTTGCCCATAAAGTAAAACAAATGAACATCATGGGTTTGCCATTCTAAAACAAGCTATTTTCTCTAGCATAATATATATTATGCTATTATTTTATATCTTAGTGGCTAAAATATAATGTATTTTAAAGTTATTCAATGGTTCAACCTCGACCAACTCAATTAGTCCAATTTTTATCATTTCAAATATATATTATGTAATTATTTGATATCATAATGATTAAATTATAGTGTATATTATAGGGAATCGTTTGGTATTTGTTAGTAAAAAAACTAAACAGAAAGATCTATTTGGTTATTTTTAACATTAAAACGATCCTAAACATTTTCAGTTTCCTTTCGAAATTCTATAGTTGTATTCCCGAATCAGTGATGTGCAAATGGTGAATTGCAGTCATCTCTTTTCTTTCATTATTTTTTATTTTCAAATATAAAGTTTAAAAGTAAAGAATAATTAGAGTTTGGCATGGGTCGGTCAAACAGGCTGAATTTCAAGTTTTGGCCCGTTTTGATCAAGTCTAATTTATAATCACATGGTCCCTGATACCCTATAAAAATCTCAATCCAAACCAGTTTGGCAGGTGAGTCTGTGTTTACCACCATTTTCTAGGGATACAGGAACGTTGGTTCCTATCCCAAATCGTGTTGTTCATTCTTGATTTCTTTCGATTTTATCATGGCTTGGCAAAAAACCAGAAAGCACAATGATGAGAAGGTGAAAGTTTTATAAAGAAAATTAATCGGCCAATGGGCCGAGTAAAAGCTAGCAACGATTGTGAGATGCTCATTTCCTGAAAACCGGAGGGATAGGCGATTTTTTATTCGATTTTCTGGAATTCGGTTTCTATAAAACTTACTACACCTCATCATATTACCAGAAACAATATTTTTTCACAAGGTAACAGGTACTTGATTTTTGTTCATAAGGCTGATTTTTTATTCGTTGCATCATTCATGTATCTTTTCTACTAAAATTCACTATTTTTATCACGTGTTTCCCAAAAAAAATAAAATTATACAACAATAAGCTATACACTCCATTACATTATCAAATTTCATACCTCACCTTCGTCCGGCCAAATGGCCGGGGCCCACGCTAGTGTGTTAATAGATTCAGATTTCATATGATTAGTTCAATATTGTAGCTTCTAGTATGGTTGCGATTTGATTGCTGATGTATAGTTGCGATTTGATTGGTGATGTATATAGTTGATTGAAATATAAATCCAACGAGGGTCCATAGCTCAGTGGTAGAGCAATTGACTGCAGATCAATAGGTCACCGGTTCGAACCCGGTTGGGCCCTTATTCTTTTTTTTTTTTTTTTTATCATCTACAAATAACAGTTTCGCGCTTCATTTTGGCAACCAGACCAGTTGATTCATTCAACAACGTTGGCTTAGCATGTTTCTTCACCTAACTTATTGCCATAATAGCATGATCCATTCTCTTAACGTGTTCCACCCGTAGCAGGAAGTATCAATAACCTCTACTACAAGGCCACCAATTAACTCAAAAGCTTATCAAAGCTGGTAAATGATAAACTGGAAGCAAACAGAAGCTGATATGATAGCTGACAATAGCCACAAAACCAATAATAGCAATTTACATAAGATTACATAAGTTTTTGAAGTAAGAGAAGCCACCATCCTGCTGTATTCAGCATCTAGAAGAAATATCATCTTCAGGTGAAATACAAAGTTCTAGGACAAAAAATGAAAACCTCTACAAACATGTACTCCAGTCCGAAGAATGTCTTCCAAATATATTATCTTTCCTTCTTAGGATTCTTGCAAATGAAAAGGAGCAGAAACAAAAAGGTCAGGAAAAGACAAAAGGGAAAAATAACAGTCTCAGAGAATCCAGGGCCAGGCAGTCCATCTTCATATCTCCAGATCCAGCATTACAAGAAGATAACCTGACTGATATAAACCCACCACAATCCCAATCTCTGACGAAAGAATTCTCTTCATTTTTACCCCAACCGAAGCAACCAACTATATGCAGATGATTCAGAGCGCAACTCCACCGTTTCGATGTGAGGTTAACAAGGTAAAAGGTAAACGAAGCACAGGTTTTGAACCACCCTACCCTTGGTGGTAAACTATGCTTGTGCTCTCTCACTTCCAACCAAACACAGCAAATTTTGGATTTTTTTAACTGCTGGATTGATTGATTATGAGTTTGGAGTCTTTTTACTTTCGAGGGCTGATCCTTCTTTCAGAGCTGCTTGTGCTTCAGCCTCTCTTCCCAGGGCGAAAAGCGCACCAGCTTGCAAGTAAGATGCAAAGTGCCAGACGGGGGATATCACTTGGGCTTGAATTGCATCATTCAGGGCTTCCTGTGGCATGTCGCTCATCAGGTAAGACAAGCTTCTTCGTGCATACACTGTTGGTGACACCATTGTCCCCACTTCTATGAACTGCAATAAGAGTTTCAGAATAAAGGTCGTCAGATAGGTAACTCTAGGAGATATTTTTCATTTCAACAAAGGAAATGAATGAAGGAAACCAATGTATATAATAACCTGGGTATAGCATTCAATGGCAGCTTTGAAGTCCTTGTGCCGAAAGGCGACATCACCCTTTTTCTTTGAATTTAGTGTATCCTGCATTTGGTTGGTCCACATCTGGAACGAGAGCTACAATACCAGAAGAATGAATCGACTAAGCATGGAAGAAAGTAACATGCTGTACCATGAAGGCCAAGCAAGGGCAGAATAAATGGGTTTGTGCAAGCACCAAGTGGATGTAAAGTTCAAGCACCATCACCAACTCAAATGCAATTTTTATAAATTAGATCAGAAACTGACATAACAACATAATCAGAGCTGGATTCCCTATGCATCGAGTTAAAAGCAAGTAAGTAATCAAGGAGCGAATGACTCCGCGAATAAGAATCCACAGTATGTATTTTAGATTAAAAATGGAATTTCAACAAACCTCAGTGGCAGCACCTTCGTCATCTTTATACCCTATCTTTTCTAAGATCTCATGTATGGCAGTCATATCATTTCTTAAGCAAGCCTCGCCAAGGGGTGACAGAGGTACGGCTGCAGCAACATCTGGTACACCCATCAATACATGTGAAGGAACCTGCACAATCAATGCTCTAAGTTCATCTCATTCATGACAACAAAAGGACTTACAGGGATGGCAGTCGCTTGCACCTAGAGAATTTCAACAAAACTAGGCAGCTGACTGTTTGAATAGATAATCTACAGGTAGTTCTCCATTTACAATTTTGAATAGTAATATGCTATGAGCATTCATATCCAACACAAAGACTAGAAGACAGAATGAGTGGTTACACAAGAAACTCACCTCAGTTTCCTTCTGAAGAGGAATCAAAGCAGTAACCAATGACTTGGGATTTGGCCGCTCTCGCGGCTCAAATTGTAGACATCGAGAAGCTAACCTCACCAACTCAGTTCCGTCATCGTTGGTGAATTGGCCTTCCAGGCAGGAATCTGTCAGCATTTGAATGTTCCGGTCTCGTATTAAGTCCAGTGCCTAAAAAGTAATTGTGGAACCAATGTTACAAGACATCAAGGACAGAAATATTCAATTCTACTACGCAGTCAAAATTTTTAGCAAACTTTATTGAGACTCCAACCAGAAACAATTTGCATTACTCATCCTTCCAGGCTCCAACATGGTTACGTACTGTAAACATTCTGGCTCATGTTATTCCCAGACAGGAAAAACATATGCAGTTACATCTAATTTTCTAATTTTATACCACTGGTCCTTATGCATCCTAAACAAGAAGATAACTGCAGACAGCTATGAGCAACCATGAATCCTGATTACTAACAGCTCTCTGGACCTCTCAATTAGACGAGATAACTCTAAAATGTTTTCTGATGGGATTATACCAACCCTACATGACCTAATTCGATTCCAAATTATATCTCTACATGGACCATGGGTCAATAGACAAATTAGGAGGTTTAAAGAGAGTTTAGGAGTATTCAAGATGGGTGAAAATAGGTCTACAAACAAAACCTACGGGTTAATGGAGAATTGAGGATTTCTTACAACTATCCTTGTCCAACAAGGATTTGGAGGAGATGCTTAATTATTGTCCATGTTGGTTTAAGAGTTTTATTATATTAGCTTTATTTAATTTCTTAAGTATGAGTGTTATTTGTTTCCTAGTAGTAGAGTTATTACTTTTCAGTTTCCTAGGTGTAAAAGGAAGTCTTTCTGTTGGGTTAGCCTCTCTATAAATAGAAGGCTTGTAGTTCAGTTTCATTCAATTCAGTATTCAGACTTCAATAAGAGTTTTCAAGAGTTGCAAGAAATATTTCCTTGTGATTTCTTAGGCTTATCAACCCCTGGTTGTGGCGCCTTGCCCCGAACCTTATCACCGACTGGTGTGGCGGTTCTTCCTCCATCTAACCTACCAAAAACCCTAAATTTCCCAATTCCTTTCAATTTCCAGCAACCCTAGCTATTTTATTATCAATTAGAGCAGTTTAGGCACACCATTTTCTCTATCCCCGTGAAAATGCAAGAAAAAGTAAGACAGCATATATGAGAGATGGAGTTTAAACATAGAACCAAGTAACAGACTTCTCTTGTGACTGGTTAAAAAATGACGATATCAATGTAGAAACTTACATGGCTTGGAGGAATGTGTTTTCCACTGAGGAGGTCAAGCAAAAGGGTGCCAAAGCTATAAATCACACTTTCTGGTGTTACTCTACCTACAAACAAAGAGAACAGCAGGTTATAATCATATAAAAATTACTATTCAGCCAAGGCATAAGTCAGAGAACCGACAGGATAATGATCATGCAACTCAGTCTCTAATGCTATCAGTAGCCAGTGCACTTGAAAATAATAACACATATATCAGGGTCAAGTGTAAATGCACAGCAAATTTTGTTTCAGCGTGTTTACCTGTTCTTAGATACTCTGGAGGAGTGAATGCCAAGTTTGTACTGTAACTTTTTCCATCTCTACTGTTCTTCATCAGACCAAAGCATGATAGTCGAGGATTTGCTTCCTAGAAAACAAATAAGTTTTAGACAGGCCTTTAACATATTTTTAATTGAGGACTGAGGGTTCGGTCATCTTAAGAGATCATTGAGTACTTACATCATCAAAAACAATTCTATAAGCATTCAGATCATGATAAAGAGCACGGCCTTTGCTCGTACAATATTCCAGGGCCTGAGCTAAATATAAAGCCACTCTCAGTCTCATTGCCCATTTCATTGGTTGTGCTTCCCCTGAGGAAAGAGAAATAAGTTATGCTACAAGGCTGGTACAACAAAAACCTCAGGATGAGGATAGACGACTTATGACAGAACACCTTTCTCTGTGAACATAGAATGGAGGATGCAAGTGCTGAAATTTGTTAAGACATGTTTCCCCAAACACAAATCCCTGGCGAGACCAAGATCCCTAAAACTTACAATGAAATAGGTGCTTTGCTAGGGTATCATTCGGCATAAATTCAGCTACAAGAAGCCTCTCTTCTCCCTCGCAGCAACAACCGAGTAAGTTAACCAGCTTATGATTTCGGAGCTGCCCAACTGATCTTGCTTCATCCTAAAGTTAAAGGAAAACAAATTAGTTAAACTACATATGGTACATTCAAGAACATCAGCAATAAAGCATTCAAAGGATCATATTTTTTGGACCCACCAAAAACTGCCTGGAATCAGGCCAAGCTGATCTATTGAAGCGTTTGACCGCAATCTTCCTCTGATTATCAAGCTTTCCCTTATAAACAACATTAGGAGCCTTCTCTCCATGTTCAGAAACTATATTCTCCACTGCAAAACCAGAAGTTGCCATCCTGATTGTGTCGATGGAGTATTCGCGAAATGCAGGCAGGTCGTCGGCTTCACCCTTCTCCTCATTTTCTAGAAAGTAAAAACCATATGAAAAAGATTCAATCTCATCTCATAATTGACTTAAGAAACCAAGGCAACAAGAACCAATCAACACCAACTTTCTTTACCTTCTCTGTGGTCCTGAGGAACTGCTTCATTATATTCTGAATTCCAACAACATGAGGAGAGCTTTGAACACTCGCAGCCCATCCCAGCTATAAAAAAATAACTTAGAAAGGGGATGTTCTAACTAATGTTCAAATCTTCTAAAACTGTGCCAACTTTTGCTCCGCTCAATTATTCCATCCAACTTTGCAGACTAATGATTCAATCAAAACAGTTTCATAGTCACCAGGCCAGAAAGTTCCACCAAGTGCTCCTCCAACCTGCGGCAAGAACAGTCATTCACTGATGTAAAATTCTGTAAACAAACAACTCAATACACAAAGCAGAAAACAGCTAAACACAAGGACATTAATCATCTGTTTACTGTAGGCACACGTGAAAAAGGAAAAACAAGGATAACCAAAAATCTCTAATTCCAGAAGGAACCCTCAAGTTCAAAATTTTCTTTCCAGCTATAATGAACCTAAACTTGATGAAATCAACAGATTCAAATTGCAAACTTCCATTCTTTTTTCTCAACTTCCCCATTAAGCATGGAAAGCAAAGAGAAAGCAATTCTTCCATGGTCAACTCAAAGCAGCAAAGAGGTCAAATGGAATTCCCAGCTCTAAAGCAAGCTCTCAGCTGATTCAGCTCACGGAAATCAAATTCAAACGCACCAAGAAACCACATAAACCAGAAAGCAACTCACGCAACAGCCAAAGCACAAATCTTTATCCACAAATTCAATACAACTGCACAAGGGGATAAAGCTAAGCACCTGAATCAGGGTAACAACAAAGAGAAGAAGAAGAGCAGAAGAACCCCTTGGCTGCTCAAGAAGAGAAATGTAAAAAGCAAGAAGCTTTTTTAATGGGTTTTCTCTCTTGTAACCCTTCGGTGGGTCATTGGGGATTGGGGAAGGATCAAAAACCTTGAAAAGGTGATTTTGGGCAGTGGGTATTTGGAGTTGTGTATTTTCTGAATCTGAGATCAGTTGGGGGTTTGTGCTGTCTGCTCCCCTTTTGTTTTCTGCCCCTGCTGCTCTTCTAAACCTTTTTTTCTTTTTCTTTTTTTGCTTGGCTTTGAGAGTTGAGAAAAGAGGAGAGGCTTTGAGATTGGGATTAGAATATTGGGGATATACAAAAAAAAAATTATTTTATTATTCTTTCAATACATGTATATAAGCAAAAAATATGGGTGGAGATTTGTGTGTCTGGTGCTTACTGTTGAGCCCTTTTGGCAGTGGGGATTTGTTTTTGGTGTGTTGTTTTGCGCTGGTTGTGGGTTGTGCTGTGGCTGCTTGCTTCTTCTCCCTTGACCCTTCTGTTCTGTGATTTGTTCGTTGTGTTTTTAAATTTTTTATTTATTTCGGATCATAGTTGTATCTTTATATATAACTCTTCCATTTTCTTCCAGTTTTCCACCGACATGACTCCTTACTTTCCTCCTACTTTCTTTCTCATTTCCATTTCTTCACTTGGGAAGTTCTAATGAAACTTTCTTACAAATATGGATTTCTTATTACTTACTATTTGGAGCATTATTGCGGTGTTATATTTTTGGAATAATGAGTGCGTTTTGACATTTTGAAGGGTTTTTAGTGTTGTTTGAGTATTTCAAGAATGAGGTTTAATCAGGATAGTCACAAGAAATTAGTCAAACTTGTATAATGTAATTATGGAGATTTGTTATTAAATAAAGAGTTAATATATTTGTATGGTCTGAACTTTGACCATAATAAATATCCTGGTCAATCTTTTCAATCTATAACATTCTGGTCTAAACTATACATCAAAATAAGGAAATTGGCCAAACTCGGTGTTTGACTGTTAACTTGGACGATCAAAAGAAAAGCGTTGACTAACGGTCAATGCGCCACATCACTGCCAAGTCAGCAACTTTCAATTAAAATTTTTTCTAATTTCCACCTATTATCATTTTCCTTTTTTCCGTTTGAACAAAAAAAAAATGAATTTTAGTTTTCGGGGACCAGCTGCTAACCCTACCTTATCCACATCTTAACCTCATCCACAGAAATCACCCGTCGCCCCTCACCTTCTCCTTCCTTAAACGTCGAAGGCAATTTCCTCCCTTGTCCGACTAAAATGCAGCGGCGGGCATTCTTCTAATCTCGCCGTCGCTACCGCTATCGATTTCCACCCCTCTCCTTTGTACTCTGGAGCGAAGAGTTCGTGAGGTCAGTTTCCCGCCTCCTCCTTGCGATTTCTACTTCTCTAGATTGAATTGATTTGGTGAAATGGGACGACGACGGGACCACATTCCAAATGGACCACAACGGCTAGATCGTGGTTCCCACTAGCAACGTAAGCAATCCCTTTCTGTCCATTTCTTTTCTTTTTTAATCCTCGATACATACAAGGATTAGGGTCTTTCAAGTAAAATAACGCTCATGACCAACATATGTCGGGTTCAGTGCTGGAAATTGAGATTAAAGTAATAATTTCTCTTTGTCTTTGTCGGGTTAAGTCAGTTAAACAAAGAGTCAGAGATTAATCAAATGCGTATTAATTTTTTGTTTGTCTTTGCTAGAATGGACGACATTATCGAGCTTATTCTGTATCATGGAGGTGAAATGGATATGTCGGGGGGATGTTCCACAATATGTTGGGGGGTTGTCGATGTCGTGAATGTGAATCGGGATGTCTTGTACTACTTCGAATTGACGAAGACTTTGATTGAAGATTTGGAGTATATTTCCGTCGAGAGACTATGATGGTACTTGACACTTGGGGAAAGTATGGCTACTGAATTGCATGAAATTGTTTAGGATGTGGAGGTTGTAACTGGATTGCTTCCCTTGGTTGGAACTGGAGATATAAGGGTGTACTTTGAGGCAACAAGGGATATTGGAGAGCTGGGTTATATGGGACACAATTATGGCCATTTTCTTGAAGGGGAAGATGCATCTGGAGACAATTCAGTTGCACCTGAATTTATTCGGCTAGACGAAGATGATGCTCAGACATCTGACGAGGTGTACCATGAAATTAGAGATGATGCTTGGAAAAGAAGTAGAAGATTTAGAGCAGAGCTTGATGGTGAAAGAAGTTCGGTGAATCAATTATTTGCGTGGGATGTCAACCATCATGCTGATGTGGCTTCAGATAATGCTAGCATTGAGGGTGGATCGGAAGCTGAGACTGTGGAGCTTGATGAGAGTTTGGAGATTGAGGAAAGCATTGTTAGGAGTGAGGAACAAAGTAACGTGGATCAGGAGATCAATGTTGAAGGATCGGTTGATATGGAGTATAGGGCCTCTGAAGATTCTACTTATGTTATAGGGAATATTGCTGAAGATGAAGGTGTTACAAGTTTCGACAAGATCTTGTGTTATGATCCCAACTGGGATCATAGCACATTGAAGTTCAAAACACATATGTGATTTATATCTCCTACTCAGTTTAAAGATGTTGTTGTGAAGAGTGCAATTCAGAATGGAGCGGATATTAGATGGATTAGGAGTAGTGAATCGAGGAAGGAGGTTGTGTGTTCCCAAAGGGATGAGTATGGTTGCAAATGGAGGGTTTATGGTAGTTCGTTTCATGGACAAGAAACATTCACGGTGAAAGCTTCTAGACCAGACCATAGTTGCCCTCGAGCGATTCGGATTTGTGCGGCGGGTTACAAGTGGATCGTATCTGAGTACCTCGAGGTTTTTCGGGTAAATCATGCATGGAATGTCAACTTAATAGCTGATGAATTGAAGACCAAACACAATCTTTCAGAGCATCACAACACTAGAAGATGTCCTATGAATGTTGGTATTCAGGTATAGTGTGAATGGTGTTTGAATGAAAGTTTCTACTCGACACAACCATGTCCATATGTTTGATCTCAATCGTGAATGGTGTTTGAATTTGATATGGTGTGAATATTGAGCCTAGTGTTTGAGAGTGAGGTTGGTTTGATGTAGTGTGAATGTTTTGACTGTGTAGGCTCCTCATGTCGGCTCATCCCGTATGAATGTAATAGATAGGGAAATGAGAATGACAATGCAAGGAATTGGAACCTATATTGATGAGAACACCATCACCATGTATGCTACGGTAAGGCTAATTCTTTGCTTATGATGCCACTCTGTTTTTTAGTTGGTAAGGCTAATTCTTTGTTTTTTGGCAACTAAGTACGAGGGTTCCAGAGAGTGCTGGAGGTGTGCAACCCATTGCACCAGACTGTCCTGTTGTAGGTGCTAGCCGCCTACTACTCAGCCAGAGGCGCCTTAGGGAAGCTAGAAGAAAGCTTGGCAACTTAGGTTTTAGGAATGCTCCACACTTTTGTAATTTGTACGTGGATGCATATGGTAGCACATGTTTCGGATTATGTACTCTAGTCCGAAGGTAGAGCAGTATGAACCTATTTTATACATGCTAGGACAATTTAGCAGGATTCTTACTTATGTTAGGTACTCAGAATTCAGACTTATGCTAGCAGTAGAAAGCTTCGAGTCACTCTTTCGCTAGGTACTCAGAATCCATACTTATGTTAACAGGATTATGCCCTATTTTGTACATGCTAGGACATGTTAACCTGATGGTGATATATGTATATGGTTCACAAGGGTTGGTGAATGCAAGTATGGTTGATGTTGATGTACACTAGCTCGGTTTAAATCTATCAGTTTTATTCAACATAAAATCTCCATTACATACGAACAAGAAACCACACAATTACAATCTTCCATTTTTATTCGAAATGAAATCTCCGTTACATATGAACCAGTCCACACACAATTAGAATAACAACTACGAATAGCACACAAAAACATCATAAAGTCATCCTCTTTTTAAGGGCATAAATCGTATATCCCATCTTTCGCAGTTCGACACAACTTGCAGCATTGAGTTTGACAAGCTTGGTAAAGTCTTCTAAAATTGCAGCCTTCTCTTCCTTACGTTTCATCGCCTTCTCTTCTGCTTTACGAACACGGCCTTCTAGCGCTTTCATATCACCGAGCTTCAACTTCAGTTCATGATTATCTTCCATCAATCCATCAACCATCGAGTCACTCTCGGACTCATCATCAAACCATCAGAAAAAGCGGCAATTCTTTTTGTGGTCCTACAGAAGAAGATGAGGTGAATCGTGGTTGTGTTGGTCAAAAACAAATATTTGAACAGAGATTTCAACCTACCTTCCAATATGGACAAGAGTAGAATATTCTTCCAGGATTCAAGCTAGTGCGAGATGTATTCATCACACAATTCCATTTTTATTCGAAATGAAATCTCCATTACATATGAACCAGTCCACACACAATTACAATAACAACTACGAATAGCACACAAAAACATCATAAAGTCATCCTCTTTTTAAGGGCATAAATCGTATGTCCCATTTTCGCAGTTCGACACAACTTGCAGCATTGAGTTTGACAAGCTTGGTAAAGTCTTCTAAAATTGTAGCCTTCTCTTCCTTACGTTTCATCGCCTTCTCTTCTGCTTACGAACACGGCCTTCTAGTGCTTTCATATCACCGAGCTTCAACTTCAGTTCATGATTATCTTCCATCAATCCACCAACCATCGAGTCACTCTCGGACTCATCATCAAACCATCAGAAAAAGCGGCAATTCTTTTTGTGATCCTACAGAAGAAGATGAGGTGAATCGTGGTTGTGTTGGTCAAAAACAAATATTTCAACAGAGATTTCAACCTACCTTCCAATATGGACAAGAGTAGAATATTCTTCCAGGATTCAAGCTAGTGCGAGATGTATTCATCACACAAGGGGCATTGTGCACTTTACATCGAATCGTGGTTGTGTTGGTCGAACGGGAACAAGTGGAACCTTCGTCAGCATTTTTCCCGGATCTCCTCGCCATGTCTCTTTCTGCATAGTAGGTGGATAGTCAAACCTTCGACGGTGACGGCGGACGACGGGTGGCAGCAGCGCTGAGTTTTTCTGTCATTTTCTACAATTTCGTTGGCGGCTGGCGCGATGGGTGAAGAGAGGAGAGGAGACGAAGTGGGGGATGAATGAGGTTAGGGCAGGGGGTCTGTTGGGAGATATACTCGAAAAGTAAAATTCATTTTTCCTTTTTTTTGTTCAAAATGAAAAAATGAAATTATTATAGATGGAAATTAGAAAAAAAAATTAATTGAAAGTTGCTGACTTGGCAGTAATGTGGCGCGTTGACCGTCCAAGTTAACGGTCAAACATTGGGTTTGGCCAATTTCGTTATTTTGATGTATAGTTTGGGCCAGGATGTTATAGATCGAAAAGATTGGCCAAGATATTTATTATGGTCAAAGTTCAGGCCATACAAATATATTAACCCTTAAATAAATACAAAATCGGAATCTTGTAAATAGATTCTCTCTCTCCACTCTCCAATTTCAGCTGAAATC